GTCTGTGGCCACGATGATAGGTAAGTCGTCATCGTCGATTTTGCAACTTAATTTTTTAAAATGTTGAAAGCTCGTTCTTGTTCTTTGCCCCAGCTAAATTCAACCGCTGGCATACGAAAAACATTCAATGCTGCAGCTCTTGAGGCGAAATTTCTAGTGAATTTATGATATAATTGTAATTTACCTTACCAATAAAACTTTCTATTTCTTTAAGAGTTGAAGGCCTGGGCATCATCCTGATCTCTTGTAATCTCTTCTCCGGTGGCTTGTTGCCTGTGGAGTCAATTATGTGACCTACATTTTCAACGTGACTTTCTGCTAAATTACATTTATGTAATGCCAACGTAACACGTATTTTTGAAAATGAATGAAAAGTTCATGAACATTTGATAAATGCTCATCATCTGTGCGACAGGTCACTATCACATCATCTTAGTCAATGACACAGCCTGTCATGCCTTTGGCAACTTCTTCTATAAATCTATGGAAAATTCCAGGTGTACTGGCAATGCCAAATGGTAATCTTTGGTATTGATATAACCCAATGGAAGCTTTAATCACCTGAAATTTATTTGAGTTATCCGAAAATGACATGATGGTGTATGCTTCGTTTAAATCCAATTTGGAAAAAAATTTACCTCCTTTGAGATTATAGAACAATTCTTCCACCTTGGGGGTTAACGATCAAAGTCAATCTATTGATTGGCATTTACTTTAAATTCTGCGCACAAACGTATCTGACCTTTTGGCTTACGTGCAATAGCAATTGGTGCTGCCCAATGGCTAAAGCTGATCGGTTTGAGCACGCCTATCAAGACTAATCGATTGACTTCTGTATGAGCGTCATTGGGAAGAGCGAAGGGAATGAAGTCAGGCTAGCTTCGCATTTTGTATAAACGTGATGTTCGCTTCCAACATTTTGCATTGACCCGGCTCATAAAAAACTCGTTTGCTAATGACATAATTGAGGCTTTAAACGACCTGGATGATGCTGGACCCGTGGTTGAAAGTATACAATTATTAATTATGATGTAATTAGGACTTGGAAATTCAGCTTATAGAACCAATTTAATACCAGAATGTTCGAGGCATTCTTACAGTCTGTCACAAGCAATGTCAAAATTCCTACTCGCTGAGCGGTAACTTCAACAACGCCGCGAACTGGAACGTCGACACCGCCATATGCCCTTAGACTTTGGTTGGTGGGTGATTTGAGCTTTTGGGTTGTGTTATTGTTGTTGTTCATGTTCGACTGTTGATGGGCTTTGTGTTTGGAAACTGATTTTGGATGGCTGACTACGTTTTATTGCGGCCATTTCGGCTTCTTGGATCTCTGTGCACGTTCACACTGTTGTTTTGTACAGTGCGGCTATTTGTAATACTCGCCTAAGCTAAGATTTTCTTTTTGTAAGACTGCAGATCGTACCTTTTCGTGAAAAGGTGCATTACGAGCATATCGCTCGGTGCAATCTCGTCACAGAGCATTTGAATAAGCAATCTTTTGCCGCACCTTTCAACTCAGCTACCCAATCATTGAATGACTGGTTTGGTTTCATTTTAGTGCGATAGAATCCGAGTCTAGCATAAAGAAGATGCACTTTTTATCAAAATGTCCTGTTACCGTTGAACGTTTTTTCTCTTACCTCTTCCTCAAACAGTTTCGGTAACAGCTCCAAATTTTCTGGTCCAATCCAACTGAGTATGGAACCTGATTTTGTGTTGCTCTCCGCGACTCCGTGCGCTTCGACATGTTGCTCTAACTGCAGCATACATGTATGTGTTCCAACGGTTTGTATCCTTGTTAAAATTACGAAAATTTGGTTTAGCTGTTGCCTTACGTTCTATACCTGCGTTTCCTTCGCGTAACAAATTCTTAACCGTTTGTTGATTCGCCTCCTTCAACATGTTTAAGAATTTCTGGTAAGATGCTTGAAAGCTATTGATAAATTGCTGAAGTGCTGCCGCGTCCATACTCACGTTTTGAAGGTTATGTCTTGCTCGTAAGTAGGAGTTTTAAACTAAGCGAAGTCTCAAATTTTCATGCATCCTCATCGCCAAATGTAAGGTTTCGATTGACAACAACAAATGCTTAGTTTCGATACAAGCCTTATTTTATATAAAACAAAAATACACGTGGAAAAACTCATTGGACATTTTCTGAATAAAATAAGAACACAAGTGTAATGAAGGATATACAAAAAACAGATACAGTTCTACAAATTTATTTATTATTTATTTTGGTAAATTAGACATTCAACATGCCTAAATGAACTAGTATACAACTGGTAGGAAACACATACATAAATGGACATTTGGCAGTTCGCAGGACATTGCCGTATTATAAATGCCAGTGTATATATTGAGAGTTCATTACAACAATTGAAAACGCATATTTTTCATGACGAAGAGACGTTACCTAGCCTTTAGTAGCGGTGGAATTTTAGTCGGCAATATTCTAAATATTTAATGTTTAGTACTCCCTGAGGAGGTAAAACTTCCTTACACATAGACCAATAGCGGTCAAATGTGTCTAATTTAACTTTTCACATCATTTTATAAACTTGTATAAAGTTCAACCTTTTGAATTCTACTCCCACATCCATTTCCATGCCTTTCATATAATCATCAAAGGCTCAGCAAACGTGTGAGATAAGCAAATTATTCACCCTTATAAAGGCAAAATGTTTTCACAATTTGGGTAATCAAAACAATGGAGGGAGAGGTCACGACATAATTTATAGTTGTCGGTTGCTTCTCGTATTGCAGTAGTGCTTTCGAAATATTTATTATGTGCTATGTACAATAGTTGAAACGAAAGAGCAAAAGAAAAATATTAACTGCATAAATAAAAAGTGGGTTGCGGGTGGTGAAGGTTTGCATGAAGAGGGAATACACACAATGAATATCTGAGAAAAAAGTATTATTAGTAAAAGTTCCAAAAGAATATTGAATGCGAGTGACATTTGGCATGACTTTATTCAACTTTCAATATGTCGCCGCCAAAAATGGCGAGACGCGTTGTGACTTTTGCTTATAAGTAGGTGACAATTGCCTCCGAGTTGTTTCATTGCAGGGGATTGTGGATAGCAATTAAGCATTCACAGATTCTCATATGAACCCCCCGGCGAAAGGGAAGACGAAAAGTTGTCACATAACGCAGAAATCAAGGAGCACGAAATGAACTATATAATGCATATATTCAGTTAATTAGTTTTTAGGTACTTTTCTGTGTTGTTAGTATTTCTCTAAATTACTAAGAAATTTGACCCAAAATCAAATGAAATATTTTTTGAAGATTTCAATTCAAAGCATAATAATAATGGCGGTCGCAGAATAAATGGAACCTCTTAGAAACCCAAGAATTCGAAAGTTTTAGAGCGTGGACGACTAATAATGTGAACAATTCATGAAAATTGTGTCCTCAAATATCATTGAAAATTACAATTCGACGAAAAATTTCGTAAAACAATAAAACAAACCTTTGTTACACATAAATAATTGACGTTTTGTAACTACGACTGCCATTTTGTTAAGTGAAAATAAGATGGGAAGTGGATAGCCCCTATACTTTATGAAATTAAGTTACCAAAAAAGTAAATACTCTTCGTTTATTAATTTATCGAAATTCAATTCATATTCTTTCGTAACACCAAGCTGAGTTCCTCCGAAAAAGACAGGGGTCTACAATTTGTTCTGAACCACCCCCGAATGGCGCATGGATTTTTATAATGCATTTCTTGCCAGAAATACACTTGGAGGGCTTGAAATTCCGTGCCGAGTGGTGACTCTAATTAGAAATTGAATTTTCTATAACTTACGAACCAGGACTTAAAGTCTAACCCTTCGAATGTTAGTACGCAACGCTAACCACTCGGCTTTTGGCGCCGATAAGACCATGCACTTGTCTGTAGAACGCTATCTCTGTCACAGCTCGTCCCTAGTATGGGAAGCCTGCATAGGCTCGAGCGCTAACAACTCTTTGAAGTACATCAAAGACATTTCTCAGTTGAATTAGCTTTCCTTTTTCTGTATTTTACAATCATACACCTTTCATATGAAAAATATGTATAAGACCTAATGTTATATAAGGATAAGGTCCGGTGCATAGGTTGTGTGCGATGTTAGCCGCCGTTGTTTATTTGGCAACTGAATATATATTTAAACATTAACTCAAGAATTAAAGGCAATTAGAAGTCCGTCAGTTATATATATAATTGGCGCTTTCTAACCCCTGAAGCGATTTTTCGGCCGAGCTCCTCCTCCAGTTTGTGGTTTTGCGTCTTGATGTTTTTCCAACAAATGGAAGGACCTGCAGTTTATATTACGCCGCCTCCAAAGGGCTGATGGTTTTTGTACGAGGAGCCTATATTTCATGTCCGAAATACAATACCCTCAGAGGGGTAACCGCAATTAGAATATTTAGCTTAATTTTTTATTTAAATTAATTTTTAATAACTTTTGGATGTTGGTGGCAACGGGATATGAACCCGAGCGATCCGAATGTCAGTACGCTAACCATTCGTCTACCGCGTCCGTAATTTATTTGTCGCCTATTTCATTTCCATGTGTGAAGTGTATATACATACATACATATATATATATAAATATATATGTACGTACTTATATGAGTTTTCTATTATTGTGTTATGTAACTACGCCTTGATAACTGGTCACAGCTGCTAATTTGACTAAACCTTTGTAACAAGTGCTTCCAAGGAAGAACGTGCGTTTGTGGGTGTGAAAAAGTAGGTGCAGGTAATTGCTGTGTATGCGCCTTAGTTGGTATGAATATACATACATATACGTATGTATGCATGTGTGACGTGTGGAGGGTGTGTTCGCTTGTGGTGCTCGTTTGTCAATTTGTTGAGGATACTGTGAATATTTAATGTCCTCGTAATGAAATACCATGAAATGTATGCACTAATCCTAGCTCTCTTAATTTTCCTCATATATTATCTTCTCGGAAATGGTCGGTTAATTGCACACGTGGCTTGCAGGCAGTTGGCGCTATGGTTGGATATTGTGTGACATTTGGATTTCACTGGACGTTCTCCTCTGTACCAGTTCCATACTGAGTTTGTGCGCCATTAGTCTGGACAGGTAATTTACAAGCATTATACATAGTATCACACCTAGATAAGCTTAAAAGCTCAGTAAATATTTTATGCATGTATTTGCATATGTTTATTTACATATATTATTAAATGTGTTTATTTTTTACATAAATATTTATGTATATATGTATATAATTTATGCGGTTGTAAAGGTTGTTCGTCTAATTGATGTGATGTTGATTTCTCCATTTTTGGTTGTCTAGTTGACTGATCTTACATATACATATATACATTTCATATAAAATAATTTTTTTTTTTCATAAATTCCTGTTTGCTCTTTCTTGTTTAAAAGTTTCTCAATTTCAATTTAATGACATTTTAACATAGGACAATAAAACAAGACAAGTAAATACAGCTACAACTACAAGGACTAATAAAAAGTTATCCATTATTCGATCAATGAAATGACCCACAGTGATAACTCTTCGAAGGTAATTTCACTATGACTCTCTTAAAGAAACCCTTGTCCCTTTGGGGAAAATGCTACGATAATCGATTTTCACACACTTGTCTTCAGGCCAAATCATATACCGAATGATGACAGGAACAGATAGTAATCACTCAGTGCGAGAGCTAGACTTTAAGCTATATGCATAATAACTTCCCAACCACGCTCTCGGAGCTTTTGGCGAATCACTATCAATGTGTATGGTCTAGCGTTGGACACAATTTTCTTCCTGTTGGCCAAAGCTAATCGAAAATATCGGTCTGTATCCGAAGAGTTCGAAAAAGTCTTCGCCAATCCCTCTAAACTCACAACAAAACCTTGCTGGACGTTAATCCTGGCTTAGGTACCGCTTGTGCTGGTACACTGACCTTTAATCATAATCGTCTTTGTTTGTAAGTGATCCACTTTCAATCACCAGCTCCCTTTCGCTGTAGAAATGGGTCGATTTTGTAACGATTCAGCAGCGATGCGCAGTTGGATATTCGATTCATGAGATTTTTCCCGTTAACTCCCGTTCCATAAATCGAGCGATTTTAGTATCCAGCCAAGTGGTTCCAAACTGGTTTTAATCCAATGTTAAGCTCCACGGCAATTTAAACAGTGCGCGTATGACGTTCAGACTAATTATTTTCCATTATTTTATCGATATTTTCGACAATTAGCTTTCCACACTGTGGATCATCTTTTATATCAAAATCACCAGAACTAAATCGACGGAACCGAAATTGTGCATGATATACTGTAATAGAACCACTAGTCATAGTATGGTGCGGTTTATGGGCTGGTGGCATCATTGGACCGTACTTCTTCAAAGATGATGCGAATCGTAATGTAACTGTGAATGGTGAGCGGTACCGTGAGATGATATCAAACTTTTTTTTTTGCCCAAAACGCAAGAGTTTGATTTGCATGACATGTGGTTTCAACAAAACGGTGCCACATGCCACACAGCATGCGTAACAATGGACTTATTGAATGGCAAGTTCGGTGAACATTTTACTTGACGTTCGGACCCGGTCAATTGGCCGCCTCGATCGTGCGATTCAACGCCTTGAGACTATTTTTAGTGGATCTATGTGAAATCTAATGTCTATACAGACAAGTCCGCTTCAATTGATGCATTGGAGGACATCATTGAGGCATTCATTCGTGAGATACCGGCCGAAATGTTGGAAAGAGTATGCCGAAATTGGACTAAGCGATGGACCATGATTTCATGCATTTTTCTCAATTATATGCGTTTTTTTTTTAAATCTTTCCTATCGCTCTTAAAAAGTCACCCTTTATATACATTTTTTGGTTGCTGCTGCCAAAAATGACTCAGATCAGGAACCCCAATATTGTAAGCATTTCGAGTATGCCACTGAACTACTAAACGCCTGGACTAAACACACGCTGGCTAAGTAGCGCCGCTCATAATGATCTCAATATTTTCTACTCCGTTGGAAAGAACAACATAAAGTTAAAAATATATATATGTAATAACAAACAAAACAAAAAATAAAACAAATAATTAAAATAAGAAGAGCTTCTCTCTGCTGCTGACCACATTCATATTATGGCATTTGATTTTATACGGAAATATGCCAAATGAGGGGAGTTTTTGACCGCTATTGACCTGGGAGTGGCCAGAAACGATTCTTTTGCATATGAATGTGCATTCGCTCTGAGGTACTAACATTGACTCGGATCACTATCATTTCAAACTCCTTACGTACAGCTGCAAACGAAGCTTAATAGGTTCGGAGAAAGTGAACCCGAAACGCCAATTGATGACGATGGAAAAGTTGTTCCGTTACCCGACTACGAAGAATAGCAATGTCTCGCTAAAAAACAACAAAGCGACAGGGGACAAACTGATTGGAACTTATCGGTGTGGCTTTAGACCTGGTGAACCAACCATTGTCCAGATATTCACCATAAGCCATGAAAACCACCTCTTTGTCGACTTTAATGCAGCCTTCGAAAGTACGAAAGGGGCTGTGTAAACTGACTTTAAGTAACACTAAAAGCTTCGTCAGGGCCGTTCGATACCAAAGGAAATTTCAAACAGGGCGATTCCTTATCGTGTGACTTCTTTAACTTAATGCTGGAGAAAATGATAACAGTTGAGGAGCTGAATAAAGAAGGTACAACCTTCTACAATATAAGAGTGTACAGCTGGTGGTGTACGCCGATGATATTGACATTACTGGCCTCAACAACCGCGCCGTGAAATCTGCTTTATCCAGACTTGATATGTCAGTAGGCGAGGTAACGAATGGCCGCAATATTTATTTATATGTTCTTAAAATTACGCTAATTAATTTGAAAATCGAAGAAAATTCGCAATTTGATCACAATTCATCCAATAAAATAAATTTATTTCTAAAGAAGTAGTTAAAATCGAGAAAGATGAATTTTTTATTTCTTTTGTTTTAAAATTTTCTCAATGCTCTATAGTGAGCATTTTCATGGATCGTGTTTTGTTAAGGGGGAAGTGAGACCAAGGCTAAGCTAGCGCCTACATATAAAGGGTTTTCCAATAAAAGGTGTTATTTTTAACAGCCTGCAGCAGGAATCCACTTTTACATTTTGTTACTTGTTATTTTCCACTTGTTTGAAATTGTTTTTATTTTTCTTTAATATTCGACTTTTTTATTTTCATTTTTATTTTCTTTTTTTTTATTGAAGCTGTTGTTGTTTAAGAAATACATATGTATAAATATTTATGTATGTATTGGGTGTGTGCATTGATTCGTGCAATTAAATTAAGACTTTATTGTGACAAAATGATTTTAATCGTCTGGAATCGGTTGCTTAATCAACTCCTAATACTTTTGCAAGTTCATCTTGCGTCTGACATACACAGCTTTTGGTAGTGTAATGAAGAAGAACTCCCCGCAAAAATACTTTATCTGCTACAAATTTCGACATTTTCAAATGAATGAAACAAATTGTTGTTCACGCTAAAACAAATGACATCTGCCGAAAACGACGCGAACTGACAGTACCTATAAAATGAATGTATTTGCAATTCCGGTATATAAATGTCATTTGTGGAGCTGTAATTTTTTGCTATTTGACAACTAAGAACTATATCTGTAACAAAAATGCAAGGATACACGCTTCAACAACGCACTGAATTTTATGAAACTGATTATAAGTATTTCATTGAAACATCATCTTGACCGGTGAGGTCCTTCTCCACCTCGGTGGCTAATATGCAAAATTGTTGCAGCTGGGGTTCGAAAAACCCCAGATTTATTGTTCAAAGATCCCACCATCCGATTTATGATTCGGCGAGGTCATTGAACCTTATTTTTTCGAAAGTTAATGAATATCGCCATCGCGTAATTATTACTGATTTCTTAAGACCCGAATTGGATGGATAACGTTTAGTTTCATCAAGACGGCAGTGTGGCACGTACAAGCAATGAAACCATCGATCTTTTAAGGGAAAAGTTTCTTTGAATATCAAAATAACACCTCTTATTCGTAGCTATTTTATTCCAGTGGTGAAGAACATCAACAGCTTCTTTAGAATGAAAACTCGAGACTCTGTTCGGCAACAACATCCGTGACTTCTATAATGCAGAGATAACTCGAGAATGTAGAATTCCTGGTGATAATGAGATTGACAGATTGCCTTACATATGTAGATAATGTATAAAATATAATATATATACTACATAAATATATAAAATTGAATTCTAGTTTCTTTCTTACTACTCGCTGACTTCCACACCCAATTTACTTAGACCCCCTGCAAGTTTTAATGCATTCTAAGACTAAGACAAAACGACACAATTCCATGACAATTTATCATTTTGGCAAGTGGTAAGAAGAAGACTACGCAAACTGAGAATGAACAAAAGTTGTCAAGAATAACAACGACAAATAGAAAAGTTTCATAAATGCCCTTCTGGAAATAATTCAATATTCTCGCTCATCGCGAGAGTCGCAGAAAAGCTAAATAATAATATACAATGAAGACAGTGCGATATTTCCAAAAGTTACTTGTACACTATACTTTGTTATTATTGTTTTTTCCCACTGTCACATGGGCATACAACGTTGATCCGACAACTGCTGAAGTTTTATGAAAAACTATCAATTTCATTATAGAAGAAGATTCAACGCCTCGAAGGGTCGTCCAAGAACTCATTCCGCGTGGAGTGGTAATGACAAATTTCGTCAGCTGCAAAATAAAGAGCAAGCACTGAGTTAATAGAAAACTTGGAGCACATACGAGTATCCCCCTTTAATTCCTCATGTGTTTTTTTCTATAAAAATTACGCCTTGCAGGTTTCTTTTTCGTAAATTATTTTTAAAGTAGTTGGGCCCTTCACAATTCTCGACGATACCCTGCAGGGGAGAATATTAGTTGTTGTGTAAGCAACTAGTATTTTTAACACGGCGATGTCCTGCGAGCTGACAATTGTCCTATTTTGCATCAGACTCATACTAGTTTAATACTAGTTCCTTTAGAAAAAAAAACTAAGTCAAATTAAATTCAGTTCGCCGGCTGTGGGCCGAACCGAGAACCTCACACACCATAGTGAAGACCTATAACCACCAGACTATCGTTATGATATATGGAGGAACGGAATCTGCCTACTTCAACAGAATATTTTAGGAAATGAAACTCAGCCTTGTCAAACTAAAAACAAAAACAACATACGAATGACGTGGAAGTAAAAAATTCTGTTTCACCAAAAATTAAAAAAAAAAATAAAAATTAATAATTAATTAATTAATATAAGTTGTCTTTATCTAAGGAAACCTTAAAACTCGAAAATATATTTTACATACATATATACAATACACATTTGGAACTTTGTAACCGCTGAAGCGATTTTCAGCCGAGCTCCTCCTACGATTTGTGGTTTGCGTCTTGATGTTTTTCCAACAAATGAAGGGACCTGCAGTTTATATTAGGCCGCTCCCAAACGTCTGAGCTTTACTTCATGTCAGAAATACACTCGGATGCGATCGCAATTAGAAAATTTAACTTAATTTTTTATTTAAATTAATTTTCCATAAGCTTTTGGATGTTAGTACGACACCAGGACTTGAACCCGAGCCTTCCGAATGCTAGTACGCAATGCTAACCACTCGGCTGCCGGGGCCTATTTTAATGCCAAATATTCCTTGTGGACTTTTATATTCTTACTTATGGGCACATAAATTATTTATGTAAAACCAATTGTTGATAGAAAAAATTTTGTGATTTGCTTATCTAAATCGAGTTATATCCATGACATAATGGAGAATTTTAAAATGCTTTTGACAGCAATTTCTTCGGTAATTCTGTTGTTCTCTTCATACATTTATTTTTATGTATGAATATTTTCCTTAATTTAATTTGCTTTAACTAAATATAATATATAAATATTTTTAGATATCTTGCAGTGACTCAACCGTTAACTTATTCTAAAAAGCGCCGCTCAAAGCGCTTGGCATTATTGATGATTTTCATTGTGTGGGTGACGGCGCTGTTGATCACATGTCCACCATACCTGGGCTGGTGAGTATTTCACGCTCCTTAAATCCTTAAATATACAATATATTAGGTTGATACAAAATGGAAGGGTATTTCTAATTATTTATTGATTTTCCATTCATTTTTGTTTGACTTAGCATTGGTGAGCTCAATACAGCTTCAAAAAATACTATGCAGAAATCACGCATAGGAAATCAATTGCTGTACGAGATATACGTATGTATGTATACATACGATACAAGATGTTTTAAGTCTAAAAAGCATACCCTTTAAGTGACTATTAAGAATCGAGATTCATAAATTTAAAATCCATACATATATATTATATATATAAACAAAAAGCTGCAATTGCTTTACCACAGTTTTTCAGGTGGCATTGAGAAGCTTTATTGAGCATAAGCGCAATTTTAATTCTCTTTTTGTAGCTTTTTTGCTTTTAAATAACCAAAGTTTGACACCATTTTTATTTCAATACACCCCGCATGGTGCCACGGAAGTAGACACGTCTTATGTGAATGAGTATATCTGCCGCCATATGGGTTCAGCAAACAATTTCCAAGTAATACTGATAAAATTGAACTATTATTAATATAAAGTGCACACTAAATGTGCGATGAAAGGCAAGCAAGACTTAGAGTACACTGCACACAGAAAGTGGGATATTTGAAGCACATGTCGATGGAGCGGTGAGAGACAAAAATCTCATGAGTCACATAAAAACTAAAGTAAAAAAAGAGTAAAAAGGTGCTTTCACAGTCGCTTTTGTTAATATTATTATTTGCTTCAGAAAACATTTTCTTAGTTGAGCAACAAACACTAAATTCCTCCGCTGAAGCGATTTTCGGCCGAGCTCCTCTTCCTTTTTATTAGGAGCCTTTATTTCATGTGAGAAATACATTCGGGAGGGGTTGATATTCCCTGCCGAAAGTGACCGTAATTAGAAAATTTAAATTCATTTTCTATAACTTTTGCACGTTGGTCGTACCAGGGTTTCACCCTGGGCTTCCGAATGGCAGTACGCAAGCTAACCACTCGGCTATCGCCACCATCCCCAATAGCTTACGTTATATGTGAGCTCTCTTTACGAACTATAGACGAAATAAAAAAGTAGCAGTAATCTCATGAACTTAACTGATTTATTGAGTCACCGACAAATAGACAATGAAAACTGCTGAACTTTGATCTGTAGAATTAATGTTGTACTCGTAATATCATTATATTGAGAAAAAACTTGAATACTATTGATTAAACCGTCCCTTTTCCTCACGTGGCGTACTGAGTACACACCTCATCTGTCCATTCCCCCACGTCTCTTGGACGAGGGCTGACATTCAGATCGGCTGCATAACACATACATCTTTACAATAGTGTACGCTTGTTTGTATATACCAAACTGTTTTTTCAAGGTGGTGTTCGCTGTGTCGGACATCAACCGCTCGCTTACTGGTGGAAAGTAAAGTGTAGTTCATCCTCCATTTCGACCTGAGCTCTCCTAAATATAAATCCCAGGTCAAGATTTTTCCCGCATTGAGTACAAATTCTGCTTGTGACTCTTTCCTCAACTGAATCGGATTAGCCATTTAGCGGAGGTACTGCAGAATACATCGCCTTAGAAACCGTCCACAGAATGGGGAGATACTATTCTTCCTTTCGACCAGATCTCTCGTAAATCTAAATCCCATGTCAAGATCCTTTCCGCTTTTAGTTCAATCCTTTCTCATCTTAAACGGATTCATCAATTAACTGTGGAACAGCTGAATACGTCGGTTTAGTGCTTGGCTTCACCGTAGAAATCCTTCGTTCTTTAGTAAGAAATTTTGGCTAGTGTAGCACTTTTAGCGATTTGAGTTCCAACGGTCTTTATTCTGGCAGATCTTAGAGTATATCTACACACTGTTTGCAGTGGCGAGCAGGTTCATTTTTGTTTATTTCCACTTTTTTCTTTTAGTTTAGTTTGTTAGTAGTGGTTTAGGTTGTGAGCCTCAAGCTCAGAGAATTTGAGGCCATACCATCTTTGCTAATATATATACGTATATTCGTAAATATATTTAGAAAGTATTTCAGCTTTTCCTCTCGTTTCAATGCCACTTTTAAAATGTATTTCTTCTTTATTTGTTACCAGGTACGAAAAGGGTAGAAGACAAGAAGGTAATGTCATTTGCCGCTACAATCAAAATAAGGGATATGTGGTGTTTTCCGCAATGGGCTCATTTTTCATTCCGCTCGCTGTTATGATGTACGTTTACATGAAGATTGGCCTCGTTCTCACGTCGCGGAGACAGCGCATTGCTCGTGACGCGGTAAGTTGAAGATGTGGGTATAGTGGGTGTAACCGTATGTGTGCGTGGCATCGTTTCTTGCAAACTTTTTTGGTCCATATGATACGTTGCAGTAGTCCAATAGCTACACCTCTGTAGTGTACTACTGGATTAAGCCTCGTCTCGCTACCAGCTCGTGGTAGACGATGGTTTTAACGATCGGAATCACTAAACGAAGTTGCGTGTAGAAATTCGAACTGAACGTTTTCCAATGCAAATATGTTTTGCGTTTATTGGCAATAAATTATTATTGTATTTATAACTAGAGGGAATTGTATTCGAAAGTAAAAAGTATGTTCAAAAGTATTTTTCGTATATACTCCACAAGGCTACATTATGTGTGTTCTCCATGGATCACTCGTTACGTTGTGGTGTAGTGTAAGGTCATGCCCTAGGACATCGGAATATTTTTTATGAACTGTGAATAGTTTCGGATTGCGTATAGTCCGCATGGAGTGTATATTTCACGCGTACATGGAGTAGTCACATTGCTGGCAGGGTTGTGTGTCAGTACGCATGGAATTGCTATAAACGGTGTGTTTGCATGTGCGTGATGTGCTGTGTCATTTTGCAGTCGCACAAGCCTTTTCATTCCGTGTGAATATGATTTATGTGAAAAACTAAACTTAAAACACGCGTTATAAATTTATGGTTAATTTATCTTTCACTTTTCTTTTTCATTTTTTTTTATCTAGAACTCAGAACGCACAGCAGACCATGATATAGATTGCGACAATTTCATTTCCGAGTCAGAACATTATCAATGTGCCACACCGAAGTTCCCTTCCTTCAAGTCGCGCTGGGGCAGTGGCCATGCCACCAACAGCAACAATTGCTCAGTCAAAAATCTTTGTTTGCATTGCGGTAAGTGCAATAAACCCTATTTGAGCAATGCAACACACAGAGGAAGTGCCACTATTAACGGTACTTTGGGCACGAACGTTGTTGTTGGCGGTCTAAAACATCAGGCATCTTTCTACGAACTTGTTGAGATCTCACGCTTGACTTCGATAATTCAATGTCCGGCCATCAACTGCAAATACTCTGGCGTCTGCATGCATTCCAACTCAGCGAGTGTGCCGTTAGCTGAACGACGTTCCTCCTCATTACCCATGCAAACTGTGCACTTTGTAGAGGATGGCACTTCGTGTTCCGACAATTGCTTAGCGGTGAACTCTATAGCGACCACAAGTCTGACCACAACAACTGGCTTAAAATTCAATCCGATAATCGGTCACAACCAGCAACAACATTCCCAGCATCATCACAACCACCACCATCATCATCCGCATCGAATACCAATGCGCGTATCTACAACGAAGCGGGACACGAAAACCGCCAAGACGCTGACTATTGTCATGGGCGGGTTTATCGCCTGTTGGCTGCCATTCTTCATCTACTATCTGTTGATGCCATTTCTGCCTCCCGCTGCGGTTTTCCAGGGCCTCATGTCTTTTCTGACATGGGTCGGCTGGGTAAACTGTGCCATTAATCCCTTTATATATGCTTTTTACAATCCCGATTTTCGCACGGCCTTCTGGCGCTTAACTTGCCGACGCATTTGCAAACAAAAACCCACGCCCAACCATTTGGCCATGTTCCGAGGCTAAGAGCCGGACAAGACAAGACAAGAAACAAGGCAACAGAACACCGGAACAGTCAACTAGAGAGTTTACAAGCAAAAACGTACGGTTGTATGTCTCATCAGTGGGTCAACAAAGTGAAGTGAAAAAGTGCTAAAGTTTAACGAACAAGAAAACAGAAATGAGCATGAAAAACAAAATTGAAGATACGACAATTTTTAACAGCGTGGAGCAATTGTCGTTGAACGTAATGGAGGGACGCGACGCAGTTGGCGATTTTGTAAAATTTATTTCAAGCAGATTGAAACAAGCAAGTAAATGTTCCACAGTTATTTTTTTTTTCCTAGCGTAGCCTGTTAATTCTGTCATTGGCCGCAGAACGCCTGAAAAAGACAAACCAATGCAAAAGCTGAGTGGATGGAGGAAACGCGCAACAAGGGAAAAGACAAACTGTTGACAAGAAAATTAAAGCGATGCCATTTTCTTAGTTTTGGCCAGCGGAGTTTCTTGTACCCCAACAACAACACCAAGTGGAAGAGTTATTAGGTATCTTGCCTGCTTGGTAATAGCCCGTGCGCTACGGTTAGGCGAAAATGAAAGCATTTCGGTCAGGTGCCTTACCCGCTGAGAGTATTTGAAAATTTGAAAAGTTACAAAAGATCGCACAAAAGATACGCCTTTATTTATTACTTATTATTCAGGTAATAAACAGTTTTTGTGTGCGTTAGAAAATGTCGGGTGTATAGTATATTTGTAAGCATAAGCAAACTGAGTAATATGTATGTCTCTTTGCATAAGATATCTTTAAGCTTTTAGCCAATTTACTGAACATATTGCCATATACAAATTAAAGCATAAGCGTAGTTTATTAACTATATTTTTAAAATATTTAAGGTATGAACACGTCGAGCTGAATTGAAAGTGATATATGTACATACAAAGTCCTCTGTTAAATATGGGTTGATTTGTAAACAAAGAAAAAGGAAACTTAGCAGCTAAAAATTTTTATACCGAATCAATTTGTCACTGTGAAATTCATAAAATTAAAAATAAAAAAAAAAACAAATAACAAGATCGTGTTAGAAAGCAAGTAAAAAAGCCCGCTCAGATTGATTTGTTTACTTTTTGAAAGTTATTTTTGAATAGAGTCATCATTTAATTTAATTCATTTCGTGACGATCATCTCTCCAGATGACCATACATACATCGCAAACAAAGGCCAGAGGACTATAAATATAGTGAATGGACCCCAGCTAGTTATCGGGATCATTATTGCAGAAAATATTGATACCAAAAAGGTGTTTCAATGCTTCGAGTTTTCGATCTGAATAAACTAAAAATAATAAAGGCCTATCGGTCGGTAGTTTCGAATGATTAGCAATGCACACTATACCATTCGAAAGGATTTGAGACTTGATCCGAACAACTTTCAAAATAATAGAGGAATCATCTTTTGATTGTGGTCGCCGCTCGCCAAGAGTATGAGAGGTTTTTCGGGTGTATCTCCGAGGCGGCTTGGAATAAACTGTATTCACGTTCGTATATATCAAATCGTTCAAAAAATGTGGTTATGTTCAAAGATTTCTTTTAAACCGTATTACGAACTTAATGGAATGAGTTGAATCGATCCTTTTATCTAATTAATCTTGTTTCACGCAATTTTTGTGTCACGGATGCCAATGGATGAAATTGTTTAAAAATATGTCGTCTTTTTTTGACTGGCATGTGGACTTGATATAAATATCAAAAGAGCATCTGTTGTTCCATTACACCCGAAAATGTAGTCCTTCTTACTTGTTTCTGCCTTGTTTTGAATAACTAATTAAAAAATTTCGATAAATGTATAAGGTTGGGGTATTTTTTAAACGGTGCGCCATATTTGAAATCCCACCTATATTTTGAACATATTTTTGAAATACAATGGAAGGCCTTGCCCTCTGCCTCCAGATTTTTTTTTATATTAATATTCTATAATTTTTAATGTTGGCCTGGACAGGTCTCAAACTCATGACCTCCGACATACGAGTATATGAATGAACGCCAAAAGTTTCTCGACGTTTGATTTTTTTTAGTTATTCGGAAATCGTTATAGGTAATTATTCCAAAACCTCCTGCGGTCGCTTTACTATATTTATGGTCCTACGATCTTTCTTGGAACAACCATGGAAATATCTGCTGTTTTAAACACTTTGAGTTGGTAATTTTATTTATTACAATATTGCATATATTTTATTTAAAGAACAAAAGATGACACTTTACATGAATGTGTATATTTGTATATAAGTAACGCCTTATGTAATTGCTTTATATTTGTACAATACATGCCTACAGCAATTGCGAATAATTTTAATTAAAAATATTTATTAAACGTCATAATTAATGGTATATGTATGTAAGTTTGTACTAGTTGAAGTATATAAATTACCTAAATAGCTGGTATGTATGTATATAGAAGTAAGTATTTATTTCGAGTACATCACTGTATGTCTAAGTATGTATATAAAGAATTTACATAACCATAAGATTAATTAATTATTGAATAAATGTGTCGATTAATTAATAAATATTTTCCAAATGTATTTATATTCACTTATTGAAGTTAGGGAATCGGAATCCCTAGACTGAGTGGCGCGGCTGAAGGATAATCGAATAATCCAACTGACCGGTGTCCAAGAACTGATGACATTTCGGCCAAAGCCCGGGACCGATCAGGGAATATCGCGGTCAAACTTGCCTCTTAAACTAAACATCTACAGATTTGTTCATCAGCTGCTATAAATTACATGGGAAAAACTAAAGGAATTTACTTAATTATTTAAAGCCCTCAATAAGTAGGTTTGCTGGCAAAACGAGAATAAAAATCGTGACACAAAGATCTCAGAGGGTTGGTAAAGTATAGCCCGCTAAGTAGGGATCTTTATTTATGGTATTTTTCGTTAAGTAAAGTTTTGGATTTAACAGAAATATACGCCTTTGAAAGATTTTAGCATCGGGCCTTGTGATACCACGATTTCCTGTTCACTTTTTTGCTTTTATAAACAACTGGTAGACAGCCGAGTAGCTAATCGTATTTATTACGCCCTTTAATTTAACACTTCTCAAAGCATGGCACTCGCATGGAAAGTTCTCTCTCCTCATTAATTTTACTGATTGTGCTTACTTATAACTTTTTCTGTATGCCATCGCCAACTCGCCTTACATGCTGCAGTCTATTCGTGCGTTAGCGTTGGAATTGTGAGTTTTGAAAAATTTTTAGCTATTTTTTTTACGGAAAATAAGTAAACATTTTTTTGCTTCAAATCATAATAATCAGCTGTTGATAATGTAATATATAATATAATATTGATAATATTTTTTATTGTGCAAAATTTAAACAGATAAAAGGTAGAGTATGTATATGGCTTTGTGGTTCTTCTAAGCGCTTTCATATTGTGTTTCAGCGTTGTTTAGCGTTTATGGGATTTATTGTCGATATTTATACACAATCATTAAATTTTCATTAATTTTAAATTCCGTACCAGATAAGACACAGTAATTTTTATTTACTAATTCCTTTTTCCGTGTACATTACCAAAAAAGTACTGGATTCACTTCTTTCAAGCCAACCCACACTTGATTCACTTGCTTATAATTAAAATCAATTTGTTTGTCAAACTTGCTCTTAACGCCAGACTAACTTTTATATGTTGGTCAGCAGTGAAGCTGTGAAAACAAATATTATTTTAGGTCAACATACTCTCAAAGTTTACGACGAGTGAAGTGGCCTTAGTTTTTGAATTTCTCCTTTTACTCGAAAAGCTTAAATTTGTTCCTTTAAGATAGCATAAAGTGTTGACAGATTTGCAGTTGTTAGAAGTATATTAAATATTTCATTAAGTGTTTGACTTTGTATATTGAACAAGACTGCATCATATCGAATCACGTGAATCATAAAAATTCAACTGATTCGTTTGAAAGATTTGGAAATGTAATCGTTTAAACAGTTATCAAGATGAATTTTATTTCGTTGTAACCGACACAAAATGCTGTCGTCAATGTTAAATCGTTAACAGTCAAGTTAAACGCTGAATTTTAAGTGTGCTGTTAATAACATAGCTGGCGGCATTAAGATCAACATTAACGTTGAGTTTGTGCAGTTTCATCATTAACATTTTCATTGCGTTTCGATTACAAGATGCCAAAACGAAACCAAATCATTTCAAAAATTATTTTTCATAGTAAACAAAATGGAATAAAATTTCGATTTTAACTTTAATTTCGATGACGCTGTTCTATGGGGATTAGAACTTCTAAGGGTTTGCATGTCATATTATCAACATATGTGTCTATTTCGCCCGGTAGTCATGAATGTGATAAAAATGCTACCTCTTTTCCATAATCAATTGCGTACGTAGTAATATATGCACATTCATTTATTCATTCACATACATTTCCCATTGCCACCAAAACACTCTGCTTCCACCAGTAAATGCAGCAAAAGAGAGGCAAACTGCAATCTTCCGACCTGCAGAACTTATCGCTAAACTACAAGCATGCACAGCGCATATTACCACGGTGTTGACCGTAATTCGTATTTGCATACCGCAAATTTTGGCTCAGAAAATTTTGGTTGCGGGAATCTCAATTTATGCTCAAGCATTTGTGATTGCTGCCGTGCATATTCGCTTTGGCAACCTTTGCATTAGCGCCATTAAACCAGTGATTTTCTCAAAGATTACTGAATCTGTATGTATGTACTCGTTTGTAGCTATGCACGTAGATAAATTCGAAAATCTGCACTGTTATGACTCTGACTTAGTTTTCATTGAAATGCGAATCTATCAAGAAATTTGAATTTCTCCAAAAACATGTACACGTAACCAGTCAAAAATGGTTTTACATACAAACGTGATTATGCAGATAGCTTGCTTCGGGCTAAACCATCTCTTTGTGGCCATGGACAAAGCTGATACTGGAGCCAATTTCGCTTGGGTTATAGTCGAAGTGATGAAGTGTGCAGTGGAAATCATTCAATTTAAACTTTAATGTCAACCTCTCCCACATCGTGGAGAGACTCTGTGAGATGTGGTTCAATACTTACCACCCCCTTGTCTTATTTAAAGCCATTAAAGACAGCACGAAAAGAAGTTATCTACGGCACTTCATTTAAATTGAATATGGATATTTTTCAAAATAAATGGTGTAGAAAATTATATAGAATACAGATATCAGTTGAGGAGGAAGTACATTAGAAAATAGCTTAAAATTGCTGGCTGATAATGGATATCCTACCTAATATATATTGGGATGTGTTTTTCAGTGTGAAATCTACTGCTGATATATTGCGTATTCTTTTCATGTAGTAAAATTAAAATATAAAATAAATCTTGTTTATAATTGAAATCAACACTCGAGTAAAAATCTATAATAAGAAAGAGAAACTGTTCAATGACATATCCGATGTATACCCGGGTTTCAATACATTTTTGTGATTAGGTATGCAAGAGCGCACCTACGATTCTATATTCGAAGTATTGTTGCCAAAAAAATAACACATTTGAATTTTATTACATTGACTGGCATCGTACTGGCACGTCCTGCATAAATAAGCGTTTCCGAATCACCACAGTTTGCAGAAGATATTAAAAGAAATGTTTGACATTATATTTTTTTTTTTGCCTTCCTATGTACACACACGCAATTGATACGTTCATGGCTAAAATGTTTTGCAACTTTAAATGATATAATATATATGCTGAACATCATTTAAAGGATTGACACTTTGAGGCCTTTAATGTGCTTTTTGAATTTAAGAGAGGGAATGAGAAAGTTTCTGATCCACAGTTTGACTCTATTTATTTAACCAATATGGCCTCATAGTATGTTCGTGCTAGATTCGAATATTACTTACATAAGTTATTTCTACATAGAAGATTGAATATTCAGTGTATTGTAAGATGCTGCCGTGATTCTTCAAGGACTGGGTTTAAATATAATTCTGATAATACTCCGAATATGAGTTAAAAATCATTTTCCTCCACAATGGTAGCACATACATTCAGCTAATAATTAAATATATTAAACGAAAAATGGTTTTAGTATGGTAATAATGCTTTTTTGAAGGTCAGACGCACGGAAAAAATTATAAGAAATCACAGTGATTTTAAAAAAATAATTTTCTGTGTGTTTTCCGTACTAAAAGAGAAAGTGAGCTGCTAGAACTAAGGTAGTAAATGTGATTACGAAAGGAAGTTTGAGTTTTCATCGACGGTGCTAATATAAGTATACCAAAGCCAGACTCATGGCGAGAAGTGAACAGAGTTACGTCGTCGCTATGAACATGACAGCGATCTCTTACGGAGTTTATACACCGAAACTACGCCAGAGTTATGAGAATTTTATCGTAAAACTATTGCGCCGTTAGGAAGAGAGTATAGATATTAGCAAACCGATACGCTGGAATAGAAAAATGGAATTAGCCCAGATAAACCATCAAAGCATCAGCTTTTACCAAATTGCTCCCTCTCTCTCTCTCTCTCTCTCTCCTAAACATATTGTTATATTATCTAGTGGTGCCAGAAAGGAATGAAAGTGGAACATAGAAACTTTAGATTCCGTACATTTCAAGAAACAGGGCCATTACGAATCTTATGTCAATTTCAAAAATTCAAAATCTCGGATCTAATATGGCGAACATGAAAAGTAAAATTTTTTTAATTTTTTTTTTTAATTTCAATACCAAGTGACATCTGCCGGCAGGTAAACAGCGACCCAGGAAACCATGAGGTTACCATGGAAAATATTGATATTTGCATGCCAGTGGTAAAAAAGCTGTGGCAGTGACTTTTTTTTAATATATCTGCAGCGCACTAATAAAAAACTAATAACAAAAAATTTTAAAATTTTTATTTGCAACATCATTTATTTTGAAAGTGGAAGATAATCTCTGTAGGAATTTTCTTTGACATTTTTAACTTGCCATTTTCAAATTGTCAGTTATTATGTTGCTGAATTCTCAATTTCAAATATTTTCATTTTCTGATTTATGATGATTTTCATTTTCGAATATAAATGTTTTTATGAAATAAATTTTATTTAAACAAACAAATTAAATATAAAAGTTTTTGTTTAAATATATATAAATATATAATAGATACATTTATCTATAATCCCATTCAAGATGTAACCTAAATTCGATATTTGCTTGTC